TAAGCACTAGCGTAGCTGCGGACGGTAATTTCTCAAGAAAAATTACCGTCCGCAATTCGAACAAAACGGGGCCTCATCGAAACAGTTTCCTACCGTCTCAAATTTTTTTCCGTGCAGGTAGCTATATTCTGTTTCAACTTATGGTGTACCGCAGGAAAGGCTACAAGCGCGAGCTCCTGACTCTAGGGCACATATCGGCGGCACAAGCTCTCGGGCGTTAAGAGCAGCTCTCCACACTATGAGCTCGCGCTTCTAGCCTTCTCTGCGGTACAACATAAGGTGAAACGGAGTATAGGGCCCACGCTTTTGCACATTTCTTCCACATCACAGCACAAAATGTTACGGACGAATCATCCCTGGTTTTGTCAGAAATCACTTCAAACTGAGAAACGAATTCGACAGAACGCTCTAAGCAATTGACTTGACCGCCATTGCCGAACGAGTAAAAAATAGAGATGCAAGGCGGCCAGGCTGGCCAGGCCCATAGTGTGACGCCAAAGGAACAGCGGTGAGCCCTTTGAGTCTAGGTTGTGCTGGCTTGAGGCACCTTTTTGCGTGTAATTTTTGAAACATGCGAAAAACCCTATTTGTTGATTGATATCTGCGATACCATTAACGCTTTCGAAAATCTATAAATTGGTGTGGCCTTCAATTGCATTTTCCTTCAATACTGCAATTCCTACCTGTCCCTCAAATCTAGTAATGAAAGAGTTAAATAACGTACAATGTTTAGCTAGTTAGTCAACTTAACATGACGATTATTCCCTATTCTAATGTCAGTCGAGCCTGATAAATACATTTTCTTTAACCTGTTCGAATAGAAATAAAACTTCTGGTATATTTTTGTAAAGCTTGGAATATAATAATTTAGTAAAACTAGTAACTGATAAATTACGAAATAAATCACGATTCATATCATCTTGATTTTTATTCGCCAATATGAAGGACAGCGTGCGCGTGCATAGCTACAATTGCCGCTTGAGGTGCCGGAGAGCACGGGCGCCCCTTATATTTCGTCTGCACACTTCAGAAAGTTGTTGGCAAGCGTTCATTGGAAACGTTGTTTATTTAAATGGTATGAATACAATCCTGCTGTGTTGGTTATACTCTAGTTGGCGAGTATTCGCGACACCAGGGAAATCAACACGCCCCGTAGCAGCAGCCTCGAGAAGCTCCAAAAGTGGTCCTTTCGCTACGCCCGCGTGCTCTTGCTGTTTGGTTTTTGTCGAAAACATAGTTTCACGCGCTTCTTAAAATCAACTAAAATATTACTATTCAACGGTGCAACAACAAAATGAGGGATGAACAAGAACGTTAGCTTAATGGTGAGCAATATTCTTCATTCGAGAGATGAAAATAAATACACCGCAACATATCGTCCTATCCTAACCTTTAATGCGCAAGAGACGTCACGCCTCCACTTGGAGAGCTTAAGATAGCATCAGTTTTATTCTAAATTGTATATCTAAGAAGCTGCAATTAAGTATGTAGAACTAGGTTAGCCGGTCTATAAATTGGTGATATAAATTTCTTCCTTGAATATTATGTGAATGCTCTACTTAGACGATCTGCTTTGTTTTTATCTTTTCCTAACAACATTTGTTTAGGCTTCATGAGAGATTTATAAGGCTATCAAGCCTTTTAGTTCTTGTGTAATAGAAGAGGTGTTCAGCCCCCTCCCCCCTCCCACTCCCCCCTTCTTGATAGACTTAGTGGAACGTCGCGCGGGGCACAGAACCCTAGAGCGAAATAGCGTTAACAATTGACTAAGCTCTGACTCTATCTTGGCTTTTTTAACTAAATGGAATCTAGTCTTTAATAACGCAGAGGGCTGAGGATCAAAACTATCATGTCTACAGTCAGGTAGGTCTAAATAATGTGTGTGTTCTGAAAATGCAAGCGTGATAAGGGTGGGCGGGATTGTCCTTAACTCTTCCCAGGGCGTGCTTCTCTCAACAAGGAACCAGGAAACCACGACCCCGAGCAAGGAACGCACGCGGTTTGCAAATAGTAAAACATCAGAGATCGGTCTTTTAGGACTTTATGCGGTCAGGGCATTATTACTTTCTGACTTTGCTTGGAATATATGATTGTCGGTGAGGGCTTCATACAAAGACATACGCAGAGGCATAGCCTCCTCTATACGGAGAAAGCCTGGCACATCGACGACGGATCCATAGGGCGCGCGGCCGCAGGAAAAAAGAGAGGAGGAGCGCGCCGAACGGTGACCAATATGGTAGCGCAGAGCAGAAAGGGCAGACCTAGACAGCGAGCGCTTGGGTCATGAGCGGCCGCTCCCCGAACCACGCTTGTTTTTGTGTTTTCGCCACCTTCGTTTTCGTACTCCGGGAGAAACGGGCGCGGCGATTCGAAAGGGCGCAGGGAGAAACGGGAAAGGGTGGACGTTGAGTTTCTCCTCCCCACGATAGCGACAAGAAAAGAGAAAAAAAAAAATAGATTTTTTCTGCGTTTGGCCGTTCGCTCTTTTGTGGCGCTAGCAGGCAAGGTTCTCTCCGCTCCCGTTTCTCCGCCCCTCCTTTCCCATTTACGGCGGCCGACTTTTCTCGCGACGCGCCAGGCTTTCTCCGTATAGAGGAGGCTATGGCAAAGGTAAAAGCGAAGCACATAGATAACGTATGGGCAACTCGCTTCATAAACATACCTTTACCCGCACGTATAGTGCACTCAATTCCTCTACTGTTATATTTGTTTCTGTCATATCATGTCTACTTCAGGTTACCAAGGACACAGTCTTCCTGATCTCGTTATCTTGTTTTGAACGCAGTAAAGATGCAACATGTGAAGGCAGTCAAGCGAAGACAACTTCGCGGGAGAGCAGGAGATCAAGGTGAGTTCTCCGCCAAACTCGCCGCCCGCCGCGTTTGGTCGGCGCCGTGCATGACGACACGCGCCGTCACTCCCTAGATCGCGACGTCAGAATGGAGGGTTTGAGGCGGTAGGAGAGTGGCATACTCGGCACTCGCGGCGAGATGCTGTGTCGTAATTATGACGTGGAAAAAGCCGCCGCGGATAGGAAAAGCTTTGCGGCTCCGACCTAGGCGAGTTCGGGCGAGTTGGGCGCGGGATGAGGGATAAGCTTCCAAAATGGCAGCGTTTTTGTTCGTGTTTCGCCGTCAGCGTAGGTATTTAAGCCACGCCAATGTATTTGACATGGACGACGTTGATTTTCAAAAACACTATCGTCTCTCGAAAGACGTGGTAAGTTGGCTGTGCGATGAACTGCGTGGCGAACCGGGCTTGAGGCGATGGAGCCATGAATGGACAGTCGTCTCCGTCGTGAATGGACCGTCGTCGTATACAAACACATTCTACAAAGTGAATCCTAGAAACAAATGTGTTTTTACGGCAACCTGCAACCAGGAACGCCATTTACCATTACCTACAAGCTTTTACAATTATTTTGATGGTTTGCTGCGCTGCGTAGATGCAAGAAAAACGCACTTGATAAAATTTTACTAAAACAGAGGATAGAAGAAAAGCAATGTGCATGAATGGCGTAGACTAACAACTGTGTAATTTCTTTCTCATCTTTCTTCCTCCACACCGTATTTTTGACAAACAAATTGGTCGTTAGTTGTTTATACAGCAGGAGAACATGCCAGAACATGGCGACATTGTTACCCACTGTAGATGAGCAATTTAGCCAGTGCAGTATGACTGCTAGCCTGAGGTCTTTAACGTGCACCACGCAGTAGTGATCCAGGACCACACGCCGGTACGATGCTCATCCAGATCGATACGGGCAGGGGTGGAAATTGAATCCACGATCCTGGGCTCTGCAGCGCGAGCTTTCGCTCCACATGCACCCTTTTGTGAGGGGAGAAAGATGAAAAAGAAATTAAGCAGTTGTTACCGCTCATTCACACTGGAAGCGGATCCGCGTTCGCAAAGCGGTTGCGAACGCGGTTGCATCAAGATTCAGTGCTTGCACGCGCACTCGATGACATCAAGTGCGCGTGCAATTGTACTGAATCTTTATACAACCGCGTTCGCAACCGCTTCGCGAACGCGGATCTGCTTCCAGTGTGAATGAGCGGTTAGTCTGGGCCATTCCTGTATATTGTTTTTCGTCTATTCTCTGCTTTAGTTTAAATCTTTATCAAGTGCGTTTTTCTTGCATCTACGCAGTGCAGCAAACCATCAAAATGTGTAATCAACTAGCCCATATCGAAGCAATATTTGTATAATTAGAATCCGTGCTGTTACCGATTCTTATTTGTCACTTACGATTTAAATAAAATAATTGGGTTGTGTGTATTTCGATACAACCTAAAACTTGGTCTGCCTCATCGGGCGACGATTCGCTTAGCATGTAGATGAGAAATTTAGCCCGTGCGGTACAACCGCTAGCCTGGGGTCTTTAACGTTCATCCCGAAGTAGTGATTCACGACCGCACGCCGGTACGATGCTCATCAACATTGAAACGGGTAGGGGTGGAGATTGAACCAACCCAGGACACTGGGGGTTCTGCAACGGATCTTTCGCTCGACGTGCTCTAAGCTGCTGTGCACAAGCCTAGCGGGCCACCGATCCCCCAATCTAATAAACTTAAACCATTCACTGCGGAGCGTAGGGACAAATCGCAGCTACGCTGGGGAACCCGCCGCCGCCCGGGGAGGAAGGGGGACGGGGGAAAGGGGGGAGGGTCGGAAATGTAAGAGGAGGAGTGGGAAACTCGCCGGGGCGGAGTCAAAAGAAGCTCCTCCCCTTTCCCGTGACGTCGCATTGGAGAGATTCCCGCCGAAGGCGAGCTTAGCCCCCCAGTAGAGGCGGCCACTTTGATTCCTCTCAGCTTTCATTGGCTGTTCGCCACTCCAACAAACCAAGGGCTACGCTCTAATCTCGCAAGCAGCTATTAAATGCGAACACTGACAATGCCACACATTCCGACCCATGTCTCCTCCGCAGTCTGAAATATAGAGAAGTCTTGGAGCGAAGGTGTCTCGGGAAGAACTGTCTCCCTACAAGTGTTACAATTATGAAAAGTGAAACAATACAAGTGCTCTTAACTTTATTGGCTTCTGCAATATCTACTGGCGTAGGCAGTCTTCTTTCATTTGATCCCGATGTGTCGAAGAACGTTGTAAGTAGTGAATTTGCTTGTTATATTTATATCTTCAGTAAATTGGACAAACGTTTTCTGATTTGCCGTCATATATTTCATTTACATATTATGTATGGTGACTGAATAAACGTATTTTAAGAAGTTCTTTTTCACCATAGCTGCACGTTTCAGCTAAACAAATGCTGTAAATCATAATTTCGTTTTAGCACTGTCACATTAATTTTTTTTTATTTTTTCTATATTTATTGCGCTACGCTGCCTATAAGGAAAAACCTAGTCTGTTGTAGACAGAAACATTGAAAACTGACACTTAAGTCGTTAACTGGCAGTTACTCATTCCGATGCAGCTCCAGTTACTCCAAGCTCGTCAAGGATTATATATTTTTTAATTTACTCTCTTGTTGGATTTTTGAAATCATCTTTCTAGTCGGAACTAATCTGGAGCAAGGGATATCCTGTCGAAGAGTACAACGTGATCACCACCGACGGCTATATCCTCAGCATCCAGCGGATTCCATGGGGTCGAAATGAAGACTTCCACAATAACTTTTCCGCCAAAGTTCCCGTCTTTCTCGTGCACGGCCTCTTCGGCTCATCGGCAGATTTTGTTATGAACTTCGAAAGACAGAATATAGGTAAGCGCTCTTTAAAACTCCGTAAACACCTGTCTGTTGCGTCTATTTAGTGCTTCACTGCGAAAAACACAATTATTGTAAGTGCACTGGAGCACTGTATGATAAATTATACCCAGATGCTAATCAAACCTCAGTGCTCTTACAGCTATATAAAAAAAAGTCTGCTTTGAACGGGCGTGTTACAGATATATATTTGTGTGTTCTCCTAAAAAAATCTTGAAGCAGGAAAAAAAAGCACGGCTTGTAAAAAGGTGCAAGTGCAGGCTGTAAAAACAGAGTAACAAAAATAAATTATAGGTATCAAATATGTCAAAACAAACTCATTAAATATAGGCTAATGCAAAATGTTAAAAAAAATGAGAAAAATATGTGGAAAAAGACGCTCTCCAAAACCTCTACGACAATTTATGAGCTTTCCAGAAGCAAGTGACGACCCTCCTTGAAAAGAAAAGCCCATTCAGTTATACTGAGAGATTATCAACCTTTGGAGATCCACTAGCTATAATGGTAGATTTCCAAACTTTTATATTTTATGCTCAATGTAGACTGAAAGCGTGAAACTCTTCGCTTCATAAACGCCTGCGTCATTTATGCGAAAGTCGGAACAGGCAATCGGCTTGTCTTTTTTCTTTACGTAGAAAATGATTTGAATCTATAGTGGCTTTGAATTGACCAAAAGGTGCCAAGTCAATTTTGGCTCTATCGGTTTGACGTACTCCCCTGAGAAAGCGATCGCTTTATTTATTTCTTGGAATAAAAACTAAGTATATCCATAAAAACCAGCAATAAAAAGGCCCGTTAAAATAACTAAAATTACACTCGTTCTCTTGCCATTCCAAGAATTCGGCAGCATTGCAAATTCGATACACCGGTCAATTGTTTTGTTTATTTGATTGGCAGGAGGCGAGATAACCTTATTCATATTGACGCGGGAAGCCTATATAATGGAGTCTTTTATCAAATTGTTACCATGTTTTGCGTATTGCATTACCTTTGAAGCATGCTTTTAAGCGCGCGCCCGTGTCATACCGTGACCGCGAGGCGCGCGCTTAAAAGCATGCTTCAAAGGCTCCGGTAATGCGATACGCGGAACACGGTAATGGTTTGCTAAAAGTCCCCAATGTTTCTCAAATTATGTACCGAATCCAGCCTTCATACTTGCCGATGCCGGGTTCGACGTGTGGCTCGGAAATTATCGAGGCAACACCTACACCAACCATGTGAGCCTGAGCCGTGACGATAAATCCTTTTAAACTTTCAGGTGAGCCAATGTGGCTGTACTTGGCGCACTCTCGAACACAGTAATAAATAAAGAAATCATTGAAAATATACAGGCGATACTGAGAAAACGCGAGACCGGGTTTTTACGGTGTTTGCTTAGTAAGGCTGCATATTTCGACCAACAGACTTTGGCGGATGTTGAAAGGGGTCTATAGAACTATAAACATCTGCTCATTTAAGACATCCCAAAAATATACAGGTATACGCGCAATCGAAACCGGTAAACAATGCTACAGTATTTACACCATGACACCAATTACGCGTTATTTTCGAATATATAAAACCAGACTTGTACTCGTTACTTGAAAAATGTAATGGATTACAATTACAAATTATCGAGCCTCAAATATAATGGATTACCGTTCCTAATTACTTGCGCTGAAAAGTGACGGGCTACTTTTCTCGTTACGTTACAAATTACTTTTATGTTACTTTTCCCGTACACTTATGTAGAAAACAATAGAAACAATTTTGATATTTTCAAAAATGTTCTGCAACGCTACTTTTCATTTCTCATACGCCCGTGGAATGGTAGTCTTAGTAAAAATAAAACATTGTATTTAAGAGAAAAAGTGTAGGTGCACTCCGTTCACCTGTAAGCTGGCAAGGCACCGACAGCTGCAACCACATCCGCCATCCCGCTTGCTTACGGCCTCCGGAAATGATCCCTAGAATTGTGCAGACAAAGCTAGTAGTGCGCATGCTCAGTAGCTGCGTCTACGCCCGCTACGAGGTTCGGAGGTAAAGCTGCGATCCACGGAAGCTCCCTTTTGACTCAGGTATTTCGCCTGTTATTAAAAAAAAGAGAAAAACTTGGTTCAAACGTATAGCCAATGCAGAATGCAGGTGTCCTAGCTTAGCTTGATGTGTTTCCTTAGATTAGAGTTTGTTGTTCTTGGTGATGACAATATGTGTTTTAGAGCGCAGCTCTTAGGCGCCCGTTTCCGGCTTGAGCGGCGTCGCCGTCGCCGTCGCCGTCGGCGTAACCAAGGTCACCCCAATTTCACGTGACCCCCCAAGGTCACCCCAAGGTCACGTCACCCCCCAAGGCCACCCCAAGGTTACGTCACCCCCCAAGGTCACCCCAAGGTCACGTGACCCCTCCCGAGGTTACCCCAAGACCCCCAAAATCACGTGACCCCTCCCAAGGTCACGTGACCCCTCCCAAGGTCACGACGTGACCCCCAAGGTCACGTGACCTCCAGGTCACCCCAAAGTCCCGCGACCCCCAGGTCACGTGACCCCTCCCAAGTTCACCCCAAGGTCACGTGACCCCCGAGGTCACGTGACCCCTCCCAAGGTCACGTTACCCCAAGGTCACGTGACCCTCCAGGTCACGTGACCCCTTCCAAGGGCACCTGAAGGTCACGTGACCCCCAAAGTGGCCCCCACGTGAACCCCAAGGCCACGTGACCCCGCAAGGTCACGTGACCCCGCAAGGTCACGTGACCCCCCGAAGTCACGTGACACCCCCCGAGGTCACGTGACCCCCTCCCCCCGAAATCAGGCGACCCTCTGGAGCGTAATAAGAATGAGGGGAGGAGGAGAAGGGGTCTACCCTCCCCTCAGTACTCTTCCCTCCTCCTCCTCAAGAGCTGCAATCAAATTCGGCGTTACAGAGAGTTGTAAACGGCTTCCACTTCTTTTTGGGCAAACAAAGTATGCACTGAAGCTCTAGTTTTCCGTTCTCCTTAATGCCCCGAATTTGGAACATCTTATTAAGAGATGTCCATGAAGACGACGGACACTCCACGACCGAAAACTCGACCAGTCAGAGAAAAGGTGGCGGTTACGGGTTATTGATCGTTCATCGGTTCTCACTTTCATCCAAATATTCGTGGAGGCCAGGGGAGGGGAGAGCATAGAGAGCGAGAGAAGCGTAGGCCATCGGTCTCACAAAACAATAAAGGATCACACCACTTTTAAGCGTTCTCTCTCTCTCTCTCTCTCTCAGCAGTCCTTAGATGCCCTAACGCCCCTCCCCCTTCCCGCCCCCTTTATGTTGACAGGTGACTAAGTGAGGATTGGACTGGATGACCATGCCAAGACAAGTAAACCAAAAGAGCTATCGTCTGTAACCTTGAAGTCGATGCTCATAGGCTCGCGCCGGGCGCTTTTCAGCCTTGCCCCAAGAGTGCGCTAGAATAAAGTAGCGCACATTAAAGACGAAGAGAATTCGACCCCCTTGCACGAAGCTACATCGTCTGTTACGCGAGTTGCGAAGCCGCGAATCGACGGGGTACGGACCCGCGTTTGGTGTCTGTGAAAATAGCGGGCGACGTCGAAGTTGTCGGAAAAGATAAAACGGTGTAAAAAAAAAAAAAAAAAAAAAAAGAAAGAACACGAAGAGCATTTTTTTGGCCGGGAGAAGAAGAAAAACACGATGGCAGGCGACGCAGAGGCTACTCGGCGTTGTTTTACTTGTAGTGGCGTCACAAGGCGGGGGGGGGGGGCGCACTGGCCCGGGTGCAGCGCTCAGGGGGGTGTCGCGGCGGGCCACGAGAGCAAGGGGGGTAAGTCGCGGCGGGCTACCGCCCCGGGTGCCGCTGACCCTCGTGACGCCCCTTCTTACTTTATGTTTCTCTTTCGAATACTTGCACGTTACTTGCCCGTTTTCTAGTGGTTCTAGTGACTGGTCATACAAAAAATCGTGTTTTCTTTTCGGCTATTCTCCCCTTCCTGATGTTTTCTATTTTGTTGAATTTTCCCTCTTTATGCTCCTGAATGTTCTGCTGATATTGCTTTAATTACTGTATTGTGCTCACTTTTTTTAAAAGTAAGCGGTAATTAATGTAATCCGTTACCAATATGTTGTAACGAAATTACATTATAAATTACTTCCGAAAAAAGTAACGTAGCAATTACAAAATTACTTGAAAAAGTAACGGATTACTTCCCCAGTCTGTATAAAGCTCATCAGATATTGAAAGTATTTTCACCGTACCGTTCTTCTTTAGCGCGGACCAAATCATCTCCTATGACATCCCAGCAACGATAAACGCCGTATTGAAAATATCGGGGCAGCAGAAGATGCAGTACATTGGCTGGTCTCAAGGAACACAAGTTTTGTTTGGCCTGCTTTCTGAAAAACCGGAATACAACGATAAGGTATAATATTTTTATAATATTTTGGGCAACTATAATTTAACATTCTCAACAAAAAAAGCGAGGATAATGACGAGAAACCATTACAGTGCATATTTCTATTCGTATTCTCGAGTTGGAATAAAAGATTGTGACTTTTGAATATTATCAAAGTTACTTTCACAAATAAAGACATGCCTGTGCCAAACCGATTTAACAAATGTATCTTTTTTATCTTTAAGAGTGCCTGATGAGCTTCAAATATCATTTTTTTTTCTTTTATACTACAGTAGGCACTCGGGGCTTGTCATTTCAGAGTAAACAAGCTTTTAAATTCCTGCCTTTATTTCTCAGCACATTACATCGAACATTTCCGTATTACATTATGTTTGGCAGCCAACAAAATGAATAAAAATAATATCCACTCAACTGGCAACTCGCATAAATTTAAAAATCTAAATTTAGATGCAACCAAGGTTTGACATCTCGCTATCTTAATACTGGATGTGCCCCAGTTGTTAAAATTGATTCAGCTTCATGTTCCAGGTCATCCGGATATATTTTTATTCAAATATAGTTTGATATATTTGGCCGTAAGAACCAGTGTCTCTTTTGGCATTTACGGTATTACAGTATGGGAAATTTACTCTTCATATTTATATATCTGATATATTTATAAGAAAAGTCTGTGGCATTTTGGCAAACTATTGATATTAACCTGCTGCTACGTCACGTGACAATATCCTAATACTTACATATTTATATAGTATTAGTATCAATAGTAGCGGTAGTAGTAATAGTAACCGCAGCAACAAATAATACTGCAACTTTTTCCCACCTACTTTACTACATACTGAATTGTCTCATTTCGCACCTTCTTTATAGACACTGAATAACCTATAGTATTGCTAATTTTCTTAATCTAGATAACTCTGTTTACTGCAATGGCGCCAATTGCATTCCTTGAAAACTTCAGAGGACCCGCAAGACGTTTTCTGCCATTTGCAGATATAGTTGCGGTAAGTGTACATCGCCTTTAAAGTGCAACTTGTGTTAAATAAATCAAACTGCTTGGAAAGCGGATGACACGCGTTCTGTTTTCAGTCAAATTAAGCAGATGAATAGCATAACAAAAGAAGTAAAGAATGGCTGATTTCTTTATCTTCAACAATCTTGTTTAGAAAAATCCATTTCGCTTCACGTGTTTGACAGGTCTACAATAATATATCTGTTAACAGACACAGGAAAGAAAGTATAAGCAAACATTGCAGTGGTCACTTATTAGCTTAACAAATAATCATTCTCACAAAGAGGCACGTAGGAATCATTTTAACTGAATAAAGAAACACGCATTATTAGTAAATATTGCGTAGCCTTCATATAAACTACCTAAACGTCACTTCGCAAATTAAAGTTGTTCAGCTCCGCGCATTACATCTTTTGCCTTACTCGCACAGTCACTTGGTTTTAAGATATGCTAACTCTGTATAGGCTCCTCTATGAAGACGTTTTTAAAATCCTTCCATTTATTGAAGCAACCGAAGCCCAGAGTAAGACAAAAACTGCGGCTTGTTAACCTTCCCATCGCTTACGAACTCACATACTTACTTCAAACCAATGTATAAGGGTTGTAAAATGCTCACCAACGGCTCTGCCCAGCAGTTTCTAGATCACCTAACCTCAGTACAGTGTAAAGGGGTGTGGTGATAAAAAATGAATTGGCCTAAACGTTAGTTATCAGGCAACTTTGTTTTGCCTTTTGTAGCTTGAAATCTTCCAATGAGGGTTTCTTCTCGCCATGAAAAAAAATATTGATTCATTGACGGATTGATTGATTGATAAAACTATTTTAACAATAATCACTTAATTTCCAAAGTTCGTGATTTTTTGTATCCTTTTGAAATGTATCTCGCACTTTGAAATAGAGACCTTAAAGAGGATCTTATATCCATGGCTTTCCAGCCGATGCTAAACATCATTGGACACGGAGCACTTCTTCCTAGAAGCTGCGCGACAAAAGAACTCGCTAAGCTGTTCTGCAGCGACAATTTAACCGGACCGGTTTGCGAAACAGGCGTGTTCCTCATCGCCGACGTGGATTCTAAAGAACTGAACAAGGTAAGTAAACATGCACATTTAAAGTCGCTATGTCTGGCATACTTCTCGTCAATCAGTGATAATAATTAAACAGACAGCCAAGGGTACAATAGCCTAATGAGCAAACAGGATAAAGAGCGACCACTGCACCGTTTTTATTTTTAAAACCACTGACAGGTTCTTGTATTAATTTGAATAAGGTCTGTCTTTAAATAAATATAGAAATACTTTTTTTTTCTTTTATGCCGGAGATGTTTATTTAATTCGACTTCTATTTGAGGTTTAATTTGTGCTTGCAGTCAGGTAAATCGGATATTTTTCTTTTATTATCACCCGAATTGGAAGTACATTTACCTACATGTAGGCCCGCAAAAATAAAAATACATGGTGGTAAATACGCCAACAATACACAGTGACAAAGAAAGAAGTAGACTAGAAAAGGTGTAACTTGCAACTGAACTTTACTGAATGAAACATTTGAAAAAAGAATAAAACCGCGCATGCGCAAAGATGATGGACTTACATTAACCACCTGGAGAGCTTGCCGTCACTGTTGAGTGACCGATAAAAGCCTGCTTCTTTTTGGATAGGGCAACAGAGGGAGCACTGATACACACATTCGCGCCATGAGCCCTTATCATGAATGCCTCATGTATCTCGCGTTCCAATTTTGTTTACAATTTTGCCACGAACTTGGTACCATTTAACGCGGCCTGGCACTCACACCTATCACAGTGTACAGCTAAGTGTCCAGACGGGATTGCCTAATGGCGGCGGAGTGTTCTTTGATTCTATCATTATTGCCCCTTCCCGTCTGGCCAACATAAACCAGGCCTTTTAGGTGGTCAATGAAAGTCCATCATCCTGGCGCATGTGCGGTTTTATTCTTCTTTTTATAGGTTCCCTTCAGTAAAGTTCAGTTGCAGGTTACGCCTCGTCCTGTGTACTTTTTTCTCTCCCCGTTTTTTTCTTTTTTGCGTATTTACCACGATGCATAAGTGACAACTAGTCCAACTCGCAGTGTTAAGAATAAGACATTATTGTTATGAAAATACTGCGGGCTTACGTGCGAAACCAAACAAAGGCACCTGACACGCCCCAGCGAGGAACTGAGGATTAGTTCGGATCACTTGAGCATCTTTCGAGATCAAGCCGAAGTATCGCTTAGTGATACCTTCCCCGCAATAAGCCTCCGCCAAGTTGCAGGCACCGCGGTCGTGATTCGAGCATTCAAACCGTAAATCGTTCACTCAAAAAAAAAAAAAAAAAAAAAGTCTGTGCGTCTGCTTTTACGCTCAACACTCAAAGAACCAATCAGCGCAACTTACGGAGGCAGCTCAGCGAATGACGATGCCGAAACATCTGTTTAGACCAAAAAACGCAGACTGAGTTGTGACATTAAGCAATGCAAGCGTGACGTTTTGCATTGCTTAATGTCACAACTCAGCCTGCGTTTTTTGGTCTAAACATATGTTTCGGCATCGTCATTCGCTGAGCTGCCTCCGTAAGTTGCGCTGATTGGCTCTCCGAGTGTTGTGCGTGAAAGTGGACGAACACACCTCTTAAGGAGTGTTAGAACAGTTTTGTGCATTGGGGAAGTTAACTTAAGCAGGTTTGCTGAGGCTAATTTTTTTTTCTTTTTGTGACAGAGCATATTACGTTTGGACATGTGAAATGTTTTTTTTTTTCATATTGATTGCAATGTCATCGTCACACTTTTTTTTGTTGAGAACAACACTATTACATTTTTTCAGTCATTCAAACTGAGGAGGATAGTTAGCTTCATGCATGACATGATATAGCGCAGCATCGATGCGTGCGTCCTTAAAGCTCTTATAAGAACAGCACAAAAAATATAAACACCGCCAAAGTTCTTTCAGTTATTCACAAATAAGACTGAACGAAAATAAAAACAACCATGAAAGAGGTACAGGGTGCAGTCAAAATGGTGCATTCTGGGAAAACGCAGTATTTCTTGTCTTCAGGGCAATAAATTCTGTTTTAAGCATTTGTTTTCTATTTCTCTAAGTACTGTAGGGTTCGGTGCTACTGCTCATCCGAAAGAAGGACCAACGATTCAGAATTCAGACCACACATCTTTACTGTATCCTTGCAGCGAACGTACTGCCTGAGCCCGAGCCTATTTCGTGGCTCGCGCGTACATTGCCGGCCGGGCGCCGAGCGCGAGTTCCTTCACACAGTGTGGGCCGCAAAACCCACAGTACTCACATGAACTGTAAGAGATCAGTGCCTCGTCTTGTCATTTCGCGCTGTCCCTTCTTTCTGGCCTAATCAGAAAGAAAAGAAGCTAAAAGAAATATACTGTTTTGAAAGTAAAGAAATATATACACAATCGGTATAAAAAAATAAAAGTATTTAATTCACAACATATTTTTATAAACAAATATTTTATTTTTTGAATTGGTATTGGAGCCAGTTGGTTTGTTTTTGCTAAGCGGCTCAAAAAAAAAAAAAAAGCCGTCTTGGTATTAATATTTTACCAATTATATCATTTTTTTCGCACTAAAATCCCACTACCTCGGCTGTAAGAAACGTATGCCATATGTAACAGCTTTCAACCTGTTACATACTGAAGCCCGACTTCACTGAAAGCACAGCTTTCATTGAGCAGTCTAAAAAAAAAAAAGCCCATGCGTTTACTTTCCCGCACAACGCTCGGAGAGCCAATCACCGCAACTTGCGGAGGCAGCTGAGAGAATGACGATGCCGAAGCATATATTTAAACCAAAAACACAGTCTGAATTTTGACATTAAGCAATGCAAGTGTGACGTTTTGCATTGGTTAATGTCACAACTCAGACTGCGTTTTTCGGTCTAAACATGTTTCGGCATCGTTATTCGCTGAGCTGCCTCCGTAAGTTGCGGTGATAGGCTCTCCGGGCATTGTGCGGGAACGTAGATTCACGGGCTTTTTTTTTAGAGTGAGAAACCCTTTTAACTGTTGACTTGAGCTCAAAATGAAGTCTAGCTCTTAGATGTTGAATCCCACTTAGTGTTTCTTTAATAACCCACTCGTAACAACCTCATTCTCAATAGATATTTAATCACTTATGCCCTAGACAGAGTGGTTCGAAGACTTTTATGAGACATGTGCTTCTAGTACAACACCCGTGTGGCAAAGGTTCTTTAGGAAATAATCCATGCTATAAAAATAGTTCAAAATATGTAATAATCAGAACTGCCTTTACATTCCATTCCAGACCTAAGACTTTTCTGTCCTTTCCAAGATTCGTGCCGCTGCTTATTTCTTAAATAACATGCGCTAATGTTTTGCGAAGGAGATAAAGCTACAACGGTTCTGACATTAGCGTGCAAATTAGACAATGAAAATAGATAATCAACTATTAAAAATTTGTCGCCTTTGCAACTTTTAGCATTAGGGGAAGCATGCTCACGGCTGTTCAGAAAAGCGTATCTCTGAGACAGCATTCAGAGGGGTGTGATTGAAGAGTCGATTGCCAGTGTATCTGGAGCATACACCTTCTGGAACTTCGGTGGACAACCTGTACGGGCTGATGCAGGTAAGCACATCTCGCCAAAACCACGTTTTTTCTTTCCGTCCTTCTTTTGTTCTAAAGTTATAAAATAATAGTTTAAGTTGTAATCACATCATGTAAAACCATACTTTCATGTCAGTTTACAAATAAATTTCAACATACGAAGATACGAAATATTTTAGGTGACTGCAATTACAACAAACCCTAAAAGTAGTCAAATTATTCCAGAATTGCGAAAAAATTTACAGTAATACTAGTATTAACCATTCTTGGAGCACCAAAAGTTCGCTAAGGAACGCTTAGTAAGGCAGGTGCAAAACAACGGTGGCGCAAATTTTTTTTTTCATGCTGGAAAATAACACAACCGCTTCAACAGCACTTCAGTGGTGTTAGGAAATAGAGATATGGAGGCTTCAGCTTTTTGTATTTGTGATACAGTGCTCAAACCTATAGCAGAGTCGGGTGAGGGGATAGCCTAAATGTATATAGTTGCATTTATCTTATATGATTTCTCACTTCTACATATAAGCATTCTGCATATATTCTCTTGAATGTAGCACACTAGGCTCTTAAACTGACATTTTCTGGGCATGTTTCGCATAGGAGAGTCAAGTGATCTGTAATTTGAAATTAATGACTGCTGACTCCTCATGAGTTAATCGTGAAATACTCGCGACGGCTAAATGATGCCTTTATTTTATCAACTTATCATAACTGCTCGCTGAAATAATTATTCGCACGACTCTAAGCGGGCTTCACAGTGCCAGTGCAGCTCCTCTTAGCCATGAACTGCAATGCGCAGTACCGTAAGTTTGATTTCTATAGATAGGTCTAACGATTGCGAGGATATCTTCCAAGCACGCGGAGAAACTGAAGGTTATGGGTATATTGTAGTAATGTACATTAGGTGATCTAGTCTGAATGTGTGCTTTCTCCTTTCTAAAAAGCCATCACAGTCTTATTGTTAACCTCTGCGTTACAGAATGCAAAATGTGGATGCTTTCAGAAGTTCGACTACGGGAAATCCCTGAACATGCAAGTATATGGAAAGGTATGAGCACTGATTAGGATGCTTCAAAAATATTACGGAAGAAACAAACATAAATACATGCCTTCTCTCAAATCTCGATAGATTATCGCTCACACGTAAATATTAGTCGTAAGCATAACGTACAGCTATCATGCCAAATCCCTTTGTGCTATGTACTGTGTCAAACCAAAGCAATAATTTTATCGCGCTTACGTAAAAAAATTGACTATACACCAAAAACGTAGCCAGATAAACGGGGCAAGCGCTAAGAAAAAAAGAGAAAGCATGTATAACTGTTGGTTTCTTCTATGTGCACCGTCATCAGAGCGCGTGTTATGTAAGGATCTGAGGAGATCTGAAGCTCAACCGATCCGAGATCGGTTGAGCTTCAGATCTCCTCTTCCATAAACTTTTCTTATGAGTGAACTTGGGAATGCACAGGATGCGCAGTACTGTGTGACAAATGTCGCAAATATACCCGTTGCGTAAAAGTAGAAAGTAACTATTATTAGCAAGTTACTGTTTTCGAAATGATTGGGGGAGGAGTCTGGTGTTTGTATTTTTTGAAATCTCGTTTTAGACGTTTTTACGCGTTTATTTTAAAGCCCTGGTACTCTAAATCTAATAACAACATGTCATAGTATACCTATGGTTAAGCCTATTTTTTATATACAGCGCACGCACAAGTAACTGTCGTACAATTAAAACAACCCTCCCAGGCTTGCAACGTATCATTGAAGACACGATGCAGTTGTCCTGTTAAATTTCTCTCGGTGAAATAGATTAAAAAAGTCCATGGCTATACGCGACTTCACCCATAGGTAAATATGTATGCCTAAAACACTGAACACACGATTATTATTTAAGCATATACCTTACTTCAAGTATTGCGTGCCGCGTTGCGTAAACGCTCTGGTTCTATATACGTCGTTTCACCAAAGAACAGAGAGCATTCCATGGCTAGGATGTATACAAGCACGGATACTCGCACTAGCAACGCAAGGCCATGACGCAGTTACTGCGCTTGACTGGCTAGCCGATGGTCCCACAAGCCCATAAGGATGGCAAACGCCATGTCGCCGGTATTTTCGCGCTGCTTGATTAGTTCCATCAGAGTCGCTCTTACTGAGAAAGTTTGGCCGATGTGTGATGCTTGTGCCCGCAAAACAGCGCTAAAAGAACCCGAGTTCGCGATAACAGAAGATGGCGATTCGTTTTCGTTTTGCCAATCCACTCTGAGCAGACCCACTTGATATCTAGGGTACAAGAAGCGTTATAAAAGCATGTCTCGTTCATCAGTGTTCCCTTACGCCTGTAACCGATCGGTCAATTCAGAGACTGCTCACATTTGATCGATATCCAGTACCAAAACTTACAAATAGGGCTTTTTAATTCAAAAGTTGCTTTCATAACAAAAAAAAAAGAAGAAAAGTGAGGCAATTTAGAGCACCAGTTCCCTGTTCCTGCACGACGAGCGCTTTCTGCGGTGTTTAATTTTGCCACTGGTGGGAGTACAAAAAGGTAATTTTCTATGCAAGAAAAGCAAATGAACGACGGTAATATTTTTGAAGATCTCAAATAGGGAAGTGTGAGCAGCTAATTCCTTGGAAAGAGCTAAATTCGCTTGCTTTAACTAGATACCCTTTTATGGTAATGAAACGTCCCAGCAGGCACCGAGTGACAAATCAAAAGTGGGTCACGAGTTAGTAACAGCATGTGGCGGAAAAACGTTTGGTTGCCACATTTGTGGTCATGGTTGGAAGACGGCATGTTCAAAAGAATGTAAACTCCCAATGTATTCACTCTTTCTCGCATGAGTTGAAACTATGTGGCAACAGCGGGTTTCGAAGTTTTTGCGAAATCAAATCTAGAACTAGACGGCGGGTTTCACAGTATGTGCGATATTAAATCTGTGCGTTATTTTCGGGAAATTTTCGCTTGTGCCACTATTACATAAAATGTTCTCTAATGGTGAAGGAAGGCTGCGCAAGAATGTAATACACCCGGACCGGAATTATGCGAGGACTACCGAATACATGGTACCACTGAGTTTCTGGCCAAACAAAAAAGGGCAAATAGAAATCTCTGAGCCCCATGGACCCATAGCGTCGGCTGTAGTCTAACCTAACGTGAAATGAAGCATAGCCTATATTTCAACAAAGTGCTTTATGTGAACGACTGCTCGTGCAAACAGAACAAGCAGCAGAGCAGAGCAGAGCTTTTTTGTCGCTCTTGCGAGCAACTTTTGAGATAGAGCAGAGATGTTGTATCCCTATATTGTGCTTCAGCTTTAGAACAAATATTCAAGGCGCTGATATAAGTCGAAATAAAATTATTTAGTCGCATGATGCATATGAAAATACTGTTGGGTTACTTGGTTCGTGATGCTTAGGAACATTTTTTTTTAGTGGAAGCAGAGACTGGCACGCGGAACGGGACACAGACAAACGCGTTTGACGTGTCTTCGTCCCCTTCTGCGTGTTCATCTATTTGTTATTGGAAGTATTCTGAGAAAGACTAGTATATTTGCTAATATCCTTTGCTTTTATCTTCTTCCTACATGTTTTGTACAATCGTCGTGGATATATTCTCCTAAAATTGTTTATTCAAAAATCTTGCTTCATTAGAAAATTCGCTCAGTAGAAAAGCCCAGGCATTTACTCGACATGACAAACATTCATTTTTGTTTGACAAAAACAGGCTGTTAATTTAATGATTAAATGAATATCGTCCACAGCTTGTTTACTAACCTCTGATTTTGCAGATAACCCCTCCGCGGTATGATCTATCAAAGGTAACGATTCCTGTGGCACTTTATTGGAGCAAGGGTGATTGGTGGGCGGATGAAAAGGACGTTGAGCGTCTTCGATGGAACCTAAAACATGTGGTTGCCTTCAACCGAGTGTTTGACGAAGACTTCACTCACCTAGACTTTGCCTGGGGTATTAGGTCTACTCCGGTACTGTACGGGAAGATGTTGGGACTGATGCGTAGCTACGTCACAACGTAAACGTTTAACGTAGAAAACTTGCAAGCTCTATACTATGATTGACACAAAAAAAAAAAACGCTTGCAAATGTGCAAATAAAAAAAAAACTTTGAGAAATATTTGTTAGTTTTTTTCTTAAAACCACACAGGAACAACATGCGTTTCGTCACATACACAGGTGAAGGCGACGCAGCAGCAGCAGTACTGCTGCTGTTTTTCACTTATTGCTCTCAGCTGGTTAAAAGGAATACTAGAAGAAAAATACACATCTTACTTCAATAAAATAAAAAACGAAACTTCAAAGTATATTTTTAGCCTACTTTTCTTATTTAAAGTTTATATGTAATACAGTTTTAGTGTACTTCTTGTTTTAGCGGTGCTGTCCGCATATTGAAATGGCATCGCGGCTAAGATCTGCTATACTGAGCGTATGTTTAATATAGTTCTACGGAACTGAAGCTATAAATTACGAATTATCACGAAGTGTCTCATAAAAGTACAAATTTAGTACCCTTTAGTGTATTGACTGTCAACTGCAGGAACAGTACATGCATCTCATGAAGAACTGACCGAGCTGCACAATTTATTGATTTATTTCAAATATTTTCAAGGTAGTAATACATTGAAGAGGGGAGTGGACATCAAAATATTAATTACAATGTGCACATGTTAGTTAGAACTCTCTTAAACAAAACAATGTCAGTAATGTTAGCTATCGAGGCGGGAAGGTGGTTCCAATCCAATGATGTTTGGGGAATAAAAGAATATTGAAACAACGAAGATTTAAAATTTGGCACACCGACTTTATGACTCTGATCAATGCGAGCAGAGATGTAGAATGGTGGGATAATTAGTTTACGACGAAGGTCAGCATTTTGATGAAATATTTTATGGAAAAGACACAGACGAAAGATTTTACGGCGATGCGTTAGTGATGCCAGGCCTAAAGAGGTTTTCATGCTAGTAACGCTGGCAGTGCGGTGATAGTTCGACATGATAAAACGGGCTGAACGGTTTTGGGCAGATTCAATAAAGGAAATTAGTGAAGAGTGTGAGGGGTCCCCGACAGGCGGCGGCATATTCTAATTTTGGGCGAATTAGACTTTTGTACATGGTTAGTTTCAGAGACGACGGAGCGAGGAAGAAATTTCTTTTAAGGTATCCTAACATGCGATTAGCATTGTTAATCACGCATTCAACATGAAGTTTCTAAGAAAGTTTAGACGTTATGTGAACACCAAAGTATTTGTAACTTGACACTGATGCGAGAGGCTTACTGTTAAGGTGGTAAGCGTGAGGCAGAGATGAACCACGTGATATTCTCATATATTTACATTTGTCAGCGTTTAGTTCCATTAGCCACTGGTTACACCATAATGATATCTGGTTAAGGTCTGATTGTAGAAGTAATGTGTCAGATATGTCAGTTATTTTTCTATATATTACGCAATCGTCAGCAAACAGGCAGATGGAAGAAGAGGTGTTCAGCCCCAGGTCATCAATGTAAATAAGAAACAGTAGCGGGCCAAGCACGGAGCCCTGTGGAACGCCTGAATTGACTGGAACAGTGCGAGAATTGGTATTATTAGCAGTGACGAATTGTAGGCTGTTAGTTAAAAAGGCGTGGATCCAGTTAGGTATGCGTGAGTCGATGTCAAGTGATTGCAATTTATGAAGTAGTAGCTTATGGGACACTTTATCAAATGCTTTTGAAAAATCCAGAAAGACACAATCAGTTTCATAATGGTCATCAAGAAAGTGATGGAGATCATATATGAAGGATATTAGTTGCGTCTCACATGAGAAATGTTCTTTAAAGCCATGTTGTGAAGTAGTAAAGAAGTGGTTAGATTCAAGAAAGTTAACCAACTGCGAGTAGATGACGTGTTAAAAAATTTTACAAGGTACACTGGTTAAAGAAATCGGCGATAATTGAGCGGATTATGTTTTACACCCGATTTGTGTAGAGGAACCACCTTCCCAACTAACCAATCGCTCGGGAGTACGCCTAGGTTAAGGGACTGCGTATAAATGCTTGAGAGAATTATAGAACAATACACATTAAAATTTTTTTTAAAACTTGCTGTTGATTCCATCAATTCCGGCACATGATGAAAGTTTCATATTGTTAATAATTCCAGTCACACCAATATCGTCTACTGTGACAGGGTTCATCGGTAAAAAAGAAGCGGATGACAATGTAGGTATTCGGCTGACATCACCAGGCTGAAAATGACATTCTAAAAACATCGTTTAGCACCGTTGCACAATCAGCAAAAGAAATGTTTGTACCATCTGAAGACTGAAGACTAATATCAGACTTAAAGTTGGGATTAATGACTCTCCAAAATTGTTTAGGATTAGTTGCTAACATGGTAGGCAGAGTGTGATTATCAAAATGTGATTTTGTTTCCTTAAGGGTTGACGTGTAATCATGCTCAGCTTTGTGGTACGCTGCCCATCGAGCGTCTGCGGACGATCGCTTGGCAGCGCGAAACAGTCTTTTCTTCCTGTTTCGCAGTTGTCTCAGAGTAGCGTTAAACCAAGGTGAGTTAGTGTTGCAACGAATTTTTTTAGAGGGTATGTATTTTTCTCTTAAAAATGCTACAACATTTTTGAACAACACCCAATTCGACTCCACGGAGCGATCTGAAAACTTAGGTAAGTAGTCATCAAGAAACTGGGACAGTTCTGAGTTAATTGACGTAAAGTCAGCTCGGCTATAATCACGAATATGTCTTTTGGTTACCTTAGGAGTTACTAATGGAATGCGCAAGAAAAGTGTAGAACTAAATGGCCGCTTAGAGATGGCAGATAGGTTATTGTTGATATGACGTTTGGATGGGTTGTTAGGACGAGATCAAGAATATTTGAGTATTGAGGTGTAACTCTAGTAGGCTCTGTAGTCAGTTGAGAAAAGTTGAAGTCAGAACACAGGTCAAGAAACTCGTTAGTTTCAGATGAGAAAGCGTTAGATACGGGGCTTTTATCGGACCAGATACTTTTGTGATAATTAAAATCACCCATTAATAAAATTGGCACTCCTGGATACTGAACGACAATTTGGTTGATACAATTATGCAACAAATTCACAAATAAAGAGCTGCTAGCTGGAGATCGATACCACACAACGATAATGTTTTTTTTTGTGCTTAATATTTAGGCAAACCCAAACAACTTCAAGTTCACAGGCTACGATGACTGGGCGAGAAGTTGTCGAATCGGCAACGGCCAATAAAACACCACCGCCGCTTCTGTCACGTCTGTCACAGCGAAATGTGTTGAATCTTTTTTGACAATTAAATAATTCACTATCAGTTACTTTGCTAGAAAGCCACGTTTCAGTTAGAGCGATGACGTCTGCATTGCATGAATCAGCAACTGAGCATAATTCTTCACGTTTACGGATTAGAATACGAATGTTAGTAAATAAGATGGATATATTTGAAAAAGGCAAATGCTCTTCGCTACTCCTCGCTGGTTGTTAGGATGACGCAGGAGGAGACGATACAGTTTGAACAGCAGATCGGGATGGCGTAGCAGAAGCATGGCGACTAGGCGAGTCTATTTCGTGAATGCTGTCGTCGATGTCGTTGTAGATAAAGCACTTGTTATTTACAAATAGTTTCTTATAACTTAGCTTGAATGTATTTCCCTGATTTTTTCCATACTCCAGAAGTTTTCGTCGAGCTAAACGCGTCGAAAAGCTAAGGTCTTCCGAAACAGACACGAAGCTAGTTTTTAATTTAGACTTAATCTGCAGAATACTTTCTTTGGTTTTAAAGGATTGGAATTTTACTAAAATGGGTCGATTTTTTTCGGTTACAGAAGTCCCCAAACGGTGAGCATGCACAATTTGTTCCCGTGAAGTACTAAACGAAGCTGAATCTGAAAGTAAACGAATAACCTTATCTTCTGCCTGGGCCCACGTTTCACCAGCGCAATCGTCCACCCCATGAAACACAAGATTGTCTCTGCGTGTCTGGTCTTCCATTTCGTCTAATCTGATGCGCAAAAGATTATTCTTCCTTTCAACGCGCTGAACGGCTTGATGGTTACCGGCCAACTCGCGGTGTAGTTCGTCGATTGATGCAGCCTTCACCTCAATCGCGGAAACCCTTTTACCGATATTTGCAACCGTGGCCTGTAGCTGTTCCTGGCTTGCTTTTAGATCGTTAATCGAGCTCAGTATATTATTTTGCCCTTGCTCAAGCAAGGGCAAAATCTTGCATTAACCGCATCATTTCATCAAGCTGCTTAGCTAGTTCGGCATTAGTTGGTCCGGGGTTGGTCTCCACATCACCACAAAGCAGCAATAACAATACTCTGAACAACTTCACCAAAGCTTCTGCACGAGGTATTCCCAAGATCCTGACATCAGCTGCATGAGATTAATTACGCGGTGTTTTCCAAGCCGCTTTCACGGCTTCGTGTATAGACGTCAAAGCGCTGTGAATATCTCATGCATTCACGAAAGATGGCGAGCCAACCTGCCACGACAGCATTGTGTTCTAAAGACTATAGGGGCCGTTGATGCCGCAGGCGCTGCCAAGAGTCCCCATACCGACAGTGCTGGGTACATAATAAAGAGGGTGAGAAGCAATTTTCAAGCTTTTACATCTAGCCAAGGACATTGCTCGTCCTGTTATGCCCGCTGCAAAGTCCTCAATCAAAATCTCCCCTCAAGGTTTGACCACAATCTACATTAAAACTACATTAAGCCCCCCTTCCTCCTCCCTCCCCCCCCCCCCCCCCCCATCAAAAAAAAAAAAAAGAAAGAAAAGTCTTGGGCTATGCTGCCCATAAATGCGAGAAAAAATAGACAATGGCCGCGCAGGCCAAGCGTCCTAACGACGCTCGGACTCGGGGGGACCGGCATGGCATTCGTTGATCGTCTTCGAAACGATTGAGGTTTTCTTTTTTTCTTTTGTTTTTGTATCTGCCGCGCCGATCTGCACCGATTCCAACATTATTTGGTGCTCATCGCAAGGCCTACTGCGCTCCCGCGGGTTGGACGGCAG